ATACAATATATATATAAAATATTTCGTTGGGTCAATTGTTCAATAAAATGACAACCACAAAAATACCTCTGAAGCCAATATAAATGATAATAAGTCAGATCACGTCGAGACCGCACGTTACATTACATATGTATTAACTATTTATATTACGAGTTTAGTCAATAACACATAAGCAAATAAATTTTATTTCTAATAAAATATTATTTAATATTTCTTACCGATTTTATCATTATTAAGAACATGGGCAATGCTTGGTATTTTTTTAAACTCCTTATGTATTGCTTTCGTAATGAATATCGTCAGATGCTTAAATTCTGAATGAATATATAACAAAAAATTTGGTGAGTACGAGTCGGACTCACGCAAGGGTTTTGCATCATTATCCTTGAAAAAAAATAAGAAAAATCACGTTTGTAGTTTTCTATGGTGTTGTTCGAAATTTTCGAGTAAAATACAATTGGTAGACTATTACTCGTAAGCTTGAAAAACCAACTTTTAACGTCGTTATATATAGGCACTTCTGCCGTTACGTTTGAATTTTAACAAACGGCGAACGTGTTGGTAGAGGGGGTACCTTGAGTCTAATTAAGCTTTTAGCTCTTTAAAGGTTAATAAATCACAAATGGTTTACTAAATCGCAAAAAGGTCTTCCCACACCACCAATATTTTTGAAAGACCTATCCAAAAATACCCCACATGCAGGAAAGACAAAAAAGTTATTCTCTTCTCCTTACATGGAAGGTATGCTACGCTTAAAACATTTTTTTTTTAAAGTTTATTTTACCTCGTTGCACGCGTTATTATCTCTTGCCAAATTCTAGTACCGATAGTTCTGAGTTAAACCGCGGACGGACGGACATGCATTGTGAAAGTTTAAGGATTCTTGGTCTACTACAGAAAATTCTGTAGAACTGTAATGTGATCCTTGGATGTTCCACAATCAACTTAGTTTGATAGACTGATATATTCGGTAAAACAAGAAACTACCCACAATGTAAATCTGTGATTACTACGATGGAAAATTCTAGGGAATTTTCATTTCTCTATGACATCTCAGCGAATTAAAGTTTCAAGTAATAAATTATTAGGAGAACGGATATATAAATAAAAAATAAGCATTTTCTAAATAAAAATAAATGAATAAAATTACTTAATTGAAGAATCAAATACCTGCATATATGTATCAGCTTTCCAAGTTTCACGAAACATCTTATCTCGCTATCTCGATCATTTTGTCAAAAAGATAATTATTTTACATTTCTATAAAATACAACAATGTATATTTAATATTCTGATGTGCACGACTGTCTGTAGAGACAAGCACAAACTAAAGTAACGTCGTATGACACGGTATGACTTTTAAATACTACGCAGCTCCGATAAATTTATGTTTTAATAGATACCCTCTATTTTTTAGTTAAAAAAAAAATGTAATGACCTCACATACATTGCTCAGATTCTAAGATGAGTAGCCAAAGCCTCCGTGTTATGGAGTATCTGAGACAACGAAGGTACTAGAACATCCAGACCCGAGACAACATAGAAAAGTTCATTTTCTACACTGATCCGTCCGGAAATCAAATCCGGCACCTCAGAGATGGCGATACCTTGAAACCGGCGTGCGAACCACTCGGCTACGGAGGTCACAAATAAATCATACTTAAATTATACAAGCATACTTTATAGGGTATCATTTTCAGAATCCAGCTGTCAAATCCAGCTGCCTGAAATAAATCGGCCTTATTAAACTTTACCAGGCGGCTAAATATCAGAATAAAAAAGTCAACACGGGAATTCTGTTTTAACACCATCAATAAAAAAGTCTGGAAAGTTTAAAGTTAATACGTTAAACAAGTGATCACATAATGTTACCGGAATATAATACTAGTGGTAATAGATGGCAGGTGTGGTCTTAAAATGTTCAACAATTTTAGGATAAATAGTAGCTAGGGTACCTCAAAAAAAAGTATGATTTTGTAATATTACAAAAACATATTTTGTTTATGACATTTAATGTATGTGATAAAGTACTCGTATTTTATTATTTGTAAAAAACTGTTTAGTCCATGATTGTAAAAGGAATTTATAATTTTTTAAAATATAAAATATGGTTTCATTTAAAAAAAAGTGTTGCTATTTTCTAAGTCACATACAGTTACACATACATATTTGAGTACAAATTGTATATTTTCACATTTAGCGCACATGTTTAGAAGACTAAAGTACTTTAGTCAATATGACCTTCTAATATATGTATGTCGCAGTCAATTGGTTAAAACAGCCATTCAAATGGACGGCTATTTGTTTAATAACTGGCGCCATTTTATTGCATGCCTAGTTTTCTAGTTGAATCATTATGACATTTGGATCGATCAACAAGACTGCTGATTTAAAAGTCGCCAAGACATTCATTTAGTATTGTTATCTGTTAAAAAAAATCTAGAATTCTAACCTATCACGTGACCTACAGGACCGAAATAACTTCGTTGTTATTCTTATTTCCGATATATAGTTTTGTACCTGTCTAAATCGCGGTATATCTTGTCGTTGTACAATTGGATTAGTATTAAGAATTTATTATTAACCCGTTTGGTGTACAGGTGTGTACGTTAGCTTTCTATATTGAATAATACGGACCATTAACGCCTAGTTGCGAATAAGCATATTTTATTATTATCTCTTTGATCAGTTCTTTATCTGTATCGATAACATAACGTAACAAGTTTTTGAGTTTTATATAAAATAACTTACTGCAATATTTATTTACTTCTAATGTTTACTTCTAATTCTACCAATAAATTTTGGTATTCCCGATGAATTGACAGTTAATTAGTTGGCCGACCTTTGTTCAGACGTATTATAAATTAATATATTCAGTTATTCGGCTTATCCCCCTGTCAGCCTGTTAATTGAATGGCGCCAAGCCCAGAGCGATTAATTTTATATTTAAATTCATTGACTTAATATGTATTGTTTTGTTAATAGTATGTAGTTACTTTAAAATATCTTTTATATAAGCTTTTAACTTCATATTTTAGCATGTCATCATAAAATCGTAAGCATTGTTTGTTTATTATTTTATTCCTTTTATTCCCCAATTATATTAGTCTAACCTAAACTAACCCTACGATAGTTTATAATTTAAGCAGATAAATTATAAAGTAACGATGTTTACTAGAGGAAATTTAATAAACAAATGTATGTCACAAACTGGAAAATAAATATTAACTCCAAAAAGTATTGTTGTATGAAAAAATGATGACAATATTTATCATAATATATCAATGATACCTTGGCTTCTGAATTTCAATGAATCGACGGGAGCAATGCTTTAATTATTTTAAGACATCTCAACCGACATCTCAGTTTAGTTCATGATATATAAAGTAAATGTTATTTTTTATTATTTATAAGGGAATTTACTTGTCTATAATTTTACAATTATTAAATCTCAGACATCTGGGACTAGTGAATTTTTATAATTATTATTTGTTTATTATAATCAACATCATCACTAGTGGATCTCAGGCCTTTCCTATTCCATGTTCCATAATCGAATAAGGAGAATGGGCGGACCACGCGGACCTAGTGTGGATTGGTGGGTGTTAAGGACTGTAAGCGCCGGCTTAGCGTGCACGGAAGAGCTCGAGATAATATTATTTTGGTCATCCACCCTATGACCGTCCTTGTGAAAGTTGATTAAAAACCTTATCACAGATCAGACGCTGACTACTGCGCCATCGAGTTTATATTTGGGTATTTTTTTTAAGAATGTAAACTACATGAATTGAGTGTTGGAAGCTAAGCATATTTTCAATCTTTCAAAACCTGCATTGATTGATTTATAATCCACGTTATTGCAATTCTTAAAAAGACTTTTCCTATTGCTCAATACATTTTGTTAAAAGCATACTTAATCATATTGCTTATGCCAAATTCTGGTTGTGTTACTCAATTGGCCACTATTAATTAGCTCTTCATTTAACTTTCTATTAGTAACAACTTATTATGACGTCCATGCGTCATTCATTTTGAACAAACAAGTTTTCCTGTTCAATTTTAGCATTTATGTTAACTAAGGTTAGTTACAAAACCTCCTTTGTAGAATTCAAAACTCACTAGTAACTTTGATTAAGCTTTTAAAAGAGAGTTCATAATATACAAGGCTATTTATGTAGCTAACTTGGTACTTACTTATTATGTAAAATCTTTAATCTTTAAATAAAATCCTTATAAGACGTTTATAAAAATAAGACCAGTTTATAGGTATTATAATAGTATATTTTAAAAGTATTTTTGTTGTGAAATAAAAATCCTATTAATACAAAAATAACTTTTAATTGAAATAACTTAGTAAATCAGCAATAGGATTGATTCAATTATGTTAATTCTAACATTATTTATGTACAAAGGTATCTAAAATAAAGTTTATACATTAATACAACGATGTATTTTATATACTTTGGGTATATATTATAACTAGTAACTTAATAAATACATGGTTTTCATAAAACATTTTTAAGACAAATTCTATTTAAAAGTCCCAATCCCAAAAAACATTTAATAAAGTACACAAGAGTTTTTTAGTAAACATTTGAGACATATTAATACTAAAAATGCAAACATCAAATAGATTCAGTATTTACGTTAGTTTGTTATACTGTAGAATGCTCATTGAATGTTTAATTATGTACATTTAAATAAATATTATCAAAAAGAATTAACAAAGATATATAAGTTGAAGATGTCATAATATCGTTCCATATGAATATTTAAAAAAAATATTAAATGTAGCTAATAACAACCAATATTTGTTCCACTATGATTCTCATATTCGTACGAGTATTACTTGTAATAATTATTATTGAAGAAAAATGACGACTAGAGTGTTTAAATTATTGATTAATTCCAGAAAACAAGAAGAATTGAAAGGTATCTATACAAATAAATTAAAGTGCATTAGTATGAATTGGAAATTGACTGATTGATCTGTAAAGTTCCTACAAAGATATAAAAGAAGATGAAGAATACTTGCTATCCGAAGTAGTAGACGTTTGTTGGTTAGAAGGATCCGGAACTGACAAATATGAGAAATATGGGTCTGTAGTTAATGGCAAGGTTGATGATCTTGATGATAAAACACTGTCTTCATACGATGTAGTAGCTAATTGAGGCACAGTCGAGCTGAATCCATAATTATCCGCTACAGCTGGTTGCAGTCCCACTCCTGGAGGTATAGTATTGTAATAGGAAGATCCAGTCGGATATCGTGGTATATCATCATTGAGTTTCAAAACTCCATTCGGTACGTAGCTATCGGAAGTCAGCGAAGACAAAGTATTAGGTTGCAGTGATTCATCGTTAGAGTACCGATAAACGTCAGACATCGATGAGTAACCGACCCTGTTCGTCCCTGCAGTATAATATGATGAATAAGACAAGCTTGGGGTATATGATGGTAGCTCAATTGTATTTTGTGGTCCTTTGATAACAGATTTTAATGCTCCTACTGCGGAATAATCTGGTGGCCTAGAGAGTGTCTCGTTTGCAGAAAGAAAAGATTTGTGATTTGCATGACCATCATTCAGTAATCTTCGGTGTCTGTCATGGCCACTACAGCTTCTTCCATGGCTCATCTTGTGATCTTGACCGGGCGATAATTCCTTAGAACTTGACGGACTGTTGTCATCTACCGATGATGATGGTTTATTATGTTTATTATCTTTTTTGTATTTCATTCTTCGATTCTGAAACCAGATTTTGATTTGCCGTTCTGATAATTGTAAGTAGTTAGCTAGTTCGATTCTTCTTGGCCGACATAGGTACCGATTTTGATGAAATTCATTTTCTAATTCAACAAGTTGAGAACTAGTGTAAGCTGTTCGAGCACGCTTAGTAAATCCTTTCGAATATGTTGATTCTGTAGACATATCTGAAAAAATATTCAAACATCTAATAAAAATTTGGATTATTTAAAAATACTATAGTGCTTTGATATGTTAACGTAATTAAAATATCATACAATAACAAATATAAAAAAATGGTTCAAAATATTTACCGCTTGATATAGATGGTGTGGTTGCAATTAATGAAGCGGTTGTCGGGATTTTGTTATTCCATATAGAATTCTGAAAAATTAAAACGTATTTATAAAAACACGATACGTGTTGCTTTGACGAATATCACAAACAGAATAAGGCAAGTGAAGCCTATTTTTTAATTATTACTATCAATCCAATTAATTTCTCATTAAGAAACCGGTTCGTTTGTGGTAAGACTCATTGAACACAAAATATTTTAAAATACATTCTAGATTACTATTTAGTCTTTTAGAATAAAGTTCAAATTTGATATTATTACTTGACTGGAAAAACTGGAATCTTGCAAGTCGTTTACTTTTCCAGGATCTTTAACTACTTCGTTGTCCAAACCATTATTTATATTACACGACGAAACAGGTTCGTTAGCTGCAAAATTTCTGTTATAAATTATATGACTTCTGACTGGAATAGACGTTGTATCAAATGCATCTACTAATTTATCAGCACATTCTTCGGGCCCTAATTCTTCAGTTCCTGATCCATTATTATTATATGAACTATTGCTGATATTTTCATAATGAGCTAATTCGTATCCATATTTTGGTTCACTCTCTTCTTGATGATTGACGTTATTATATGGCTGTTGTAGCCCTAAAATATCTTGGATACTAAAACTTGTTGAATCTCGAGAATTATAATCTTGTACAAATGAATTTGATATAGATAACACCTCAGCTTTGTTCTCATGAAATGTAGTTTCACTGACACTATAACTAACACCACTTATAGATAAAATGTCTTCGACACCGTGAGATGTTACAGTATTAGATTTGTAATCTAACTTTTGAGCCACATCTAAAGAATTATAATTTGGTACAACAGCACTTCGAAATTTAGGCACACATGTGTCTCCAGAGTCTTCTAAATCTTGTTCGGTATTTAGACTTGGTGGAGTACCTGAAGATGTAGACATTATTTAGAATTAAACAATTTTGTATTGCTATTATTCCGTTGTGTTTTTGAACACTGACACAAACTTTATCACTAGCTAGGAGACCGTGCGAGCATATTGAAACTTGTTTACAAAATGCTTTTTACTTCACCTGATTGACGTTAATTTGGTAATGACGTATTTAGTTTGTAAGTGTATTTGTAACGGAGTTCTTTTGTTTGTGTGCATTAGATAAGTCGGACATACCGTAGCTCCGATAATAGTGAATAGATAATAGAAATCGGTAGCTAAAATACCTGTCACTGCATCTTATCCAGTCTGCCTCTGGTCTTACTTACAGTTTCGATAACAGTGTACAATGTACGCATGGAAGAAAAAAGAATTACTTTATATGCTATATTTTTGTCAAGTTAATGTACTATTCGATTAAAACTATTTATAGTATAATATTTACAGTTACCATAATAATATTTTAACAATTATATTGATATTTGAAGTACTACATTATCATTACATTGAATAAATAAAAATGCTTTTAAGGGTACTCTTATAAGGTTTAGATTTCTTGTTTGATAAATATCTCAATGTGATTCTTTGACAAGATATTTATTTACAATTATATTTGTTTTGGGCTTGTTCCTAATTTCCACGACACGTGTGCTAAAATTTACTTGAAAATTTTCCTTTAAATCTGCTTGTTGAAATACCAATATTGAACCTTATACGTTTATAACAATAGAGAACACGTTGAAAGTTTAGTAGCTTTACATTTATTAGTATATACACTGTAGTTGTATATATCTTTAAAATTAACTTGACAAATATTATTATGTTAATAGAATAATTTATTTTGAAACAAAGCAATACTCATATGCCTTATCTTAGCGGTGTTTATCCAAACGATTTCTCCGTTGAAGATATTATTAAATATGTTGAGTGAATAAAAACTGTAACTAACAACATTCTGGCATTGTTTCTTCACAAACTTTATAGAACTTTCCTTGTCGAGATCAAAAACTTTTTTAAGATACCCTTAGAAGTAAGTCAACGAATCTGATTACACAGACTATATTCTGTAATATAGTCTGTATGTGAGTGTATAGTCTGTATGAAAATGTTATAGCAAAGTGCATTTACAAAGTATGTTATAGTATAAAAAATGCGATAAAATCATATTTTGAACTAACACAATCGTAACTTAAATACAGTTGCCAGAACATTAGATTATATATAATCTGATTTAACAATTTTAGGTTTAATTTGACAGTATTACATATACTTTTGCTTTAGAATGATACTTTTTCGTGGTATTGCTACCATATACCATGTACTCCGTGATCATGGAGCTTGCAACGGTGCTGAAATATCGGAAACTCTAAAAAACAAGGTAGATGGTAGCAATCCCACAAAAACCTGTCATTCTAATGTAAATGACAATGAAAGCTTAAAACAATATATAGTAATTATGTCAAATTAAGCCAAAAATTGTTAATATTACCCAAAATAAATGGAGCATGAAGAAATTCGAAATTTTGTGATGATTTACATGCTAGTGTGTCATCATTATACATCGCAAGCTATATTACAGACAAAAACCTACAAAACACGTAATAATTTGAACTTTAAATCTATATATAATACACGAATATACTGACGAATATATTATCTTATGTGGTTTTATAAATAAAGTAGAATAAAAGTCAACCAAACTTCCATGACATTGGTATGGTCTTTAAATGAATTCAATGTATTGTTGAATATTATTAATCTAGAAAATAACTATACATTATTCCATGTTTGTAGAAAAATTTAAGATGTACCTACATACAATTAACAGCATGTCAGATTATACAAAATTTTCAAATATTTGCACTTAATTTTAAACCATAATTAGTTTTCGGTAAAAGTCTAAATCTAGTGCGGAATTTTGACATATTTGGTTAACGTGTAGCCGTATGTACCTGTTTTATCTTTGTTGTTAATTTTTTTGCCTTTAATATTTGAATGCTGATAAGCAATAATGCGTTAACCCAAAAAAGTTTGCTTTCGGAGTTTTGATGTATTCTGATAATACATTTTAAACATTTAGCAAAAGTCACACAAACATAGTAAGTATAGAAAAAACATCATCATCATCACTTCAGCCGAGAGAAAAAACATATTTTTATCATAATACAAATTCATAATTCATTATGAGAAACGACTTTCTCAAATAAAAAAAAAAACTGTGTGGGTTGAATTATTATTGTTTATCAGCGTCCGTTTATATTCAAAGCCATATCAGTTGTGTATTTACACCAAGTATGTTTTTTCTAAAGTCATATTAATATTTATTGCATTAAAACCTATTCGTTAGAAATAAATACCTTTTCCAAATTCTTCATTTCGAATCGAGAAACTGCGTTTTCGATTGAGGGTAGGTGAATCACGTTCTTATGACATATTTGGATTCTTCACGGAATCAAAAAGACCACTCGCTGACGGTTGTAAATAGTAGGCGTCATAAAGCCGCTTGAATTAGCGTAAACCTGTTTATATCGATGCACAGGTCATTAAGATACCGCATTCTATACACATAGCTACCGACAAAATAAAATTATTAATATCCTATTGCGATTTCTGGTTACTTTTTATTTATTTCGGTTGTTAATGCATTTGCATAAAATGTTAGGACATAAAACGCAATAGTCCGAACTGCATTCTGAGGTTGATTGCAGATGGATGGGACAGTCCCATATTTATACGCTGGATACAGTTGCATACTAGCTTTTAAGTGTATTGTTGTCTCTTTATTACTAATATTAAATTATAGTTCTATTGTTACCAACATTTACTATGGAGTCATATCTCTGAAATAAAGATTACTATTATTTTCATATAACATGGCATACTTTTTGTTTGTCCTAATAGGGATGATGACTAATTTTTGTTTGTATGTCCGTCAGGTAGAGTGTTAAAAAATATTAAACACGTATTTTTTTCGTAATCATAAAATTACGGCGTTACATTGAGTTGAAATTTCGCATGACGTCACGTTAAAGTACGTTTTCTACTCAACTGTGACGTAGCGAACCCTCACTCCTCAACTTTAATGCCTGTTATCTAAGCTATTTCTTATTAAATTGAAGTAAAAAAAATACGTATCTAATATTTTTCTCTTATCTGACTGACGGACTAAATAGAATTGCATTTTTTTTACCCAGTCATCATCCCTATTATATTTATGTGTAACAAATTTAAATCTGACGATCGTCATTTTTTCTATTTGACGACCTCCATAGCCGACTGGTTTGCAAGCAGGTTTCAAGGTGTCGCCATCTCTGATGTGCTAGGTTCGATTCCCGTCGGGTAAATGTAGAAAACGTACTTTTCTATGTCTCGGATCTGAGTTCGTTACCGCAGACATTCCATATACTGGGACTTTAGACAGTCCTCCTGGATTCTGAGTAATGTATATGATGTTGTTTAATGTAAGCATAAAATAATAAAGCATTAATATAACACATGTTTGCTTCGCTCGCTCGGCTCGCTTTTTGTATTAGTCACAGTTGTAACCTGTCAGAGTAATTTGTTTTACCTATCTAGTTATTATGAAAATGTAATTTATATAAACAAAAAAGTATGAGAAATATCCTACAATCCACATTGGGCCAGCGTGGAGGGCCTATCTTCCTTAACCATCCCACGGAAGGCCTGAGCCCCTGCAGTGGGGACGTAAAAGAGCTGGTGATGATGATGATGATATGATAAATAGAGATATATTATGTTTCGAATATTATTTTTTTTAAACTAAAGATTGTTGATTCTTATTCTAGTAGTAGTTCATTGTTGTGTATAATAATTTAATTATTTCTTATTTAATAATGCTTTGATTACGAACGTTTTTCTAATTATGGACAGTTTTAAATAATGAATATTTATTTAAACAATAATTATTTTGTTGGATAGAAATGTGCTCACCAATTAATATAACGTCTTAATCCATAAAGCATTAGAAGTTCTTAAAATCTAAATGAAAATATTTTTAAAACAGCGTCGCACGTGCTTTAGATAATGGAGTGTTTTCTAATTTTGTTAAACATTAGGGTTGACCATTTGGAAAAATTAATTACAGTATGTATTACATCGCAAGGTTACGGATTAAAATCTCTTTTTGAATAATACCTAAGACAGTCCATTTTTTTTAAGGTTGACTTATAAGACAAATTATAGGATTTTTAAAATGGAAAATATCATAGAATAGATCGCCTAATTTTGTTATTCAATAAACAGAGTATATTCAAACAAAGTAACAGTTGTAAATTACTGTACTTCAATAGTTCAAGGGTATCTCCTGTAAGTGTGAGGCGAGTTCCAGCTTTGCTATTCAGTATCAAAATCAGCTTCGAAGCATGGCACTGTTGCAACATAGAGATTCAGCGAAATAAAACCTTTATTAACATTCGAATTATTTTCCATTAGATGCATTGAATCTTATGATGATTTGCCGGTGCAATAATGCAGCGGTGCGATACATGCTCATGCGAACAGCATGCTCAGTATACGCGGTACCGAATATACGGGGTCCCTCTTGTACACGGTTAACTTGGCTTAAAATGATTACTTAACCCAATAATTAAAAACAAGGTAGGTAACCCGATCAAATCAAAGTAGGCCCGCGATCGTAGTCGTTAAGCAACTTTCGCAAGGGTCGGTCACGGGATGGGTGACCAAAAAATTATTATCTCGAGCTACTCCGTGCTTCGGAAGGCACGTTAAGCCGTTGGTCCCGGCTGCATTTGCAGTCGTTAATACCCGCCAATCCGCATTGGGCCAGCGTGGAGAGTCATGGCCCATCCTCCTTAACCATCCATAAGGAAGGCCTGAGCCCCTGCAGTGGGGACGTAAAAGGGCTGGTGGTGGTGGTAGTGGTGGTGGTGATACAAAGCCCATTGTTGCTAGGCATAGGCCTCCTCCATAGATCTCCAAAACGATCGGTCCTTCACTGCCCGCATCCAGCGGCTTCTTCCTTTAACAGTAGG